ATGGAACCATCATTAGTGTTGCAGGGAGTGTAAAACTTCTGGGCTTCAACTAATCACTTTTTTACAGCCACCTTGATAGTGTAGACTATTTATCTTTGTGTTGGGAGTTTGAAAGTTCTTTTATTTTTTATTAGATGCCAACTCCATTACAAGAACTTTTGGATATCTTCTTTTGACAATACTGGATTGAACTGTACCTCTCACACAAGTGAATTAAAGTCACTTTTTGATATGTTTTCTTGAACAGCTATGAGTTCTATATGCTGATTTGAGATATACAAATAGTTCTGCTTGATGGTATAGAATTCAGATGCCACCAGAAGAAATCAATAGATGAAATATGGAAAGGATCATGGAGGAGCCCACAGTTTTCCAAGACCAATGTCTTCTTCAGAGTGCATGCACTCTGAGGAATATATTGCTTAAAACATGAAAATTAAAAAAAACTAACCCTGATAATTCCAAACTTTGTTGGAGGTGTACTTGTGCTGAAGGTAGCTCTAAACATATCTGGTGGGGATGTAAGCTTTTAAGACCTATATGGAATAAAGCATTTAGAGTTATATCAGATTTAGTGGGAGAAGATTTGGAAGATAAGTTAAGATAATGGTTGCTCTTTTTCATTTTAATTTAAGAAGATTCTCAACTCAAAATAATAATGCAACTTATAATGGCCATAAAAATTGAAATATCAAGATATTGGCTACAGAAAAAAGACTCCATCTTGGACCCAAGTGCTATCTCAGCTTAAATACCAACACGATATGGAAAGGAGAATTTCTTTTCAATATGATAGCCACTTAAAATTTGATGAGAAATGGTTACCTTGGCTAGATAATCTGATAAAACTATATACCTTGTTGCGTTCTCTGTTATGAATATCCTTATAAATAAAGATCACTCTAGTTCTGTCAGGGGTCCGCGCTCGGCTGTGAGGGGAGGCTGCACGTCACTTGCAGCACTTACCCTCAATCCATCGGCGAGCGGCGTCTCCCCTCCGCTGCGCGCCGCTCGCATCCTCCTCCACGCGTCCCAGCGACAGCATGTATAACGCTGCACGCTGGGAGGTCGCACATTTATGCAAACGCCGGGGTCACTCACGTGAACCGGCGTTAAAGCAACAGTACCACAATCACAGTGGGAGGCGTAGATATCTCCCACGTGTGATTGTTAATTCTGATTGGAAGTCATCCAATCAGAGTTAAGCAAAGGATATTTATACTTACCTTTCCTGTCTCTCAGTGCCCTGTTGTGGTCTTGTGATACCTGTATTGCAGTTTGCTCGTGTTGCTCTCTGGTTACTGATTATCTGGCTCGTTATTCCGATTTTCCTGTATTCTCCACTCCTTTGACCTCAGCTTGTTTCTCGTTCTCCCGTTTTCTGGCTCCCTTTACTTGGCTTGTCTCCTGACTATTCTTAGTGTGCTTAGCCCGGCCACTCTAAGGAACGGTATAGCATCCTTCCTGTCTGTGACCTGTCAGCATGTTAGGTTCCGGAATCGTGACAAGTTCTTCCCTATGGTACTGTATTCAGGAAAGTTATGAAGTAACCTAATTATTATAGTTTAGGCCCGCCTAATCCACTCAGTCCTTTTAAATTGTGATATTTGTGTTTTTGTGTGTGAAGTTTACTCAACAGTTCATATATCCTTCTATTGAAAATCAAAGTCTATATGTCTAATTCTGAACTGTTTTTGTCTGTGATGTTACACATGTAAAATTTGCAAAAAAAGAATAATAATAATAAAAAAAAAAAAAAACATGAAAATTGTTGATGTGAATTCTGAAGAAGACATTAATTGAGACTGATTAATTTAGAGATCTCTGAAAGTCGGCAAAGATACAACCAATATGAAATGACCGACTTGTTTGCCTTTCACTGGATAATGTCTGCACTTAAGAAGAATGTTATTTTTATGCTGTTTGCATAATACTTGGGCAAGTTAGGACTAACATATAGTTTCTGAATATGGTATAAGCCTTTATCTAAAAAAAAAAAGTGTCGTTTTCGTTTGTTTGTTTGTTTTTTGGTGGGGATTTTTTTTTTTTTTTAACAAATGTATATGCTATTTTGTGATTGACAATTCATTCAACTTGCATTAGCTATGTGACCAAAACAAGGTATTTAGTGAATAGACCAGTGAGTATATGTCTTTTCAGTGCCCAATTGCTCATAAAAAAAACAAAAAAAACATATTCCCTCATATTTTCCTAGACTGTTGTTCAAGTGATATCATTCCTGGGATTTATTGGTTCCAAATACAAGCAATTAATTGAATTTCCCTTTTGTCTACCACCCTTGCGCCAATGAGTTGCAATACAATATGAACACCTGTTTTAGCAGTTCTCACAGTGAAACATTCTCCTGCCTGTTTCTTTATTGACCGGCTAATTTACAAAATTCTATCAAAGCCTTCTGTTTGGAGACAAGACAATGCTAGGTTATTTTAATCTTTGGTTTTATCTCTCCTGTGTGCACTCACTGATGAGCAGCCCCCACAGTTTAGGAGGATAAGCTAATGAAATCTATGAAACTCTCTTTTACATGTTGGGCATTTGCACAGCTTAATTTGCATAAAATATTTAATGCCTCCTACAAACTGACATGACGGCCTGCGTGAGAAACTAAATATAGTGTCTATGAAAACGCAGAGAAATGATTTTGGATTGTAATTTTGGCTGCACGTTAAAGTGCAGAACATTTGGAGATGATTGTACCCATAATAGCTGCTATAAACATGTTCTAGGGGAGAAAAATTCAAAGCAAAGACAGGACACGTCAAATGTAGGGACAAGCATCTGTTTATTAAATCAGCAGCCTGTCCTAAATCAGGCTAAAATCAGTTCTGTTAAATTATTCCAATCTGTGACTTTCCTGCAGAAAGTGTGATATTTTAGCTTGGAGGAATGAATGCGGAGAGGAGGGGTATGAGGAACTCAAAATATTTCACAAACATTGAAAGAAAACTAAATCTAAAATTTCAGACCACGACAGAAAGGTTGTTGCTTCCTGAAGGCTTTTTGTATTGTTGATCTTTTAAAAGAATGTCCCTATTAGTGAGTAGAGATTTATGGTACAGTCTGGTCCAAGTGGAATCCTACTGACACCACTCACTAGCCTAGATGGACTATAAAATTCTTAATAATACACTTAACAGATGGTATTTCTTAACGACGTTACAGAGAATAGTCTTTGTATCAGCAACTCAGGACATTAGAGCGGAGAGCAAAACGGATCGTAGAAATTAGAGAGCGTGGACCTTTGTCGTCTGCACTTTATAGCCCAAATTACGTCATAACGTTTAGTTTAGACTCTGGCCATATAAGGAAATTCCCCATATAAAGACCACCCCAAATCTCTTATACAGCAAATTCCAGAGACCTCATGGTCCAGAATAGCAAACGCCATCTGTTCTGTTTAACCCATTAGACAGCCACACCTTAATATGTATTTGAATAGGAACATATAGAATATGCAATATTCTACATTTCCCTCTGTTTATGGTTGTAACGGCATCCCCAGGCATAAAAGGGGTTAAAAGCCGTTTAGGAGATATTCCCTTCCAGATATACAGGCAGCTACTGTAGGCACCAATCCACCGAACCAGAGAAGCATATGAATGCTCTCAAACATACGAATAGTGTAAACAGGTTTACACTCCTAGCAGTCGAACTGGAACAGCATACAATAAATCCCCCCAAGAAAGAGACCAGGCTCCGTTTTGAGGGTCAAGCAGGAACAGACAGAGCTGTGGGTTTATTGTTCGTATACACACATTCTTACACATTAGTACCACCCACAGGGTTTTGGAAAACAACCAATAAACACGAACAATACACTCAGACACCCCCACACAAAATCCTCCCCTCTACCTGTGATACAATTACCTTACACAATAGGTTAATGTAATTATCACAGGCAGAGAAATACAGTTTTTCCGCATTATTCATAACTTTAAAAGTATACATCACGTTCACAACAATAGACAATCAAAGTCTGCTTAAACTAATAACACACAAATAATGAAATGTTGCCATGTTTTTATTGAACACACCATGTAAACATTCACAGTACAGGTGGGAAAAGTATGTGAACCCCTAGACTAATGACATCTCCAAGAGCTAATTGGAGTGAGATGTCAGCCAACTGGAGTACAATCAATGAGATGAGATTGGAGGTGTTGGTTACAGCTGCCCCGCCCCATAAAAAACACACACCAGTTCTGGGTTTGCTTTTCCAAGAAGCATTGCCTGATGTGAATGATGCCTCGCACAAAAGAGCTCTCAGAAGACCTACGATTAAGAATTGTTGACTTGCATAAAGCTAAAAAGGGTTATAAAAGTATCTCCAAAAGCCTTGCTGTTCATCAGTCCATGGTAAGACAAATTGTCTATAAATGGAGAAAGTTCAGCACTGCTGCTACTCTCCCTAGGAGTGGCCGTCCTGTAAAGATGACTGCAAGAGCACAGCGCAGACTGCTCAATGAGGTGAATAAGAATCCTAGAGTGTCAGCTAAAGACTTACAAAGGTCACTTTCAAATGCTAACATCCCTGTTAGCGAATCTACAATACGTAAAACACTAAACAAGAATGGATTTCATGGGAGGATACCACAGAGGAAGCCACTGCTGTCCAAACAAAACATTGCTGCACGTTTACAATTTGCACAAGAGCACCTGGATGTTCCACAGCAGTACTGGCAAAATATTCTGTGGACAGATGAAACCAAAGTCGAGTTGTTTGGAAGAAACACACAACACTATGTGTGGCAAAAAAAGACACAGCACACCAACATCAAAACCTCATCCCAACTGTGAAGTATGGTGGTGGGGGCATCATGGTTTGGGGCTGCTTTTCTGTATCAGTGCCTGGATGGATTGCTATCATCAAAGTTAAAATGAATTCCCAAGTTTATCAAGACATTTTGCAGGAGAACTTAAGGACATCTGTCTACCAGCTGAAGCTCAACAGAAGATGGGTGTTGGAACAGGACAATGACCCAAAGCATAAAAGTAAATCAACAACAGAATGGCTTAAACAGAAGAAAATACGCCTTCTGAAGTGGCCCAGTCAGACTCCTGACCTCAACCCGATTGAGATGCTGTGGCATGACCTCAAGAAAGCGATTCACACCAGACATCCCAAGAATATTGCTGAACTGAAACAGTTCTGTAAAGAGGAATGGTCAAGAATTACTCCTGACCATTGTGCACGTCTGATCTGCAACTACAGGAAACGTTTGGTTGAAGTTATTGCTGCCAAAGGAGGTTCAACCAGTTATTAAATCCAAGGGTTCACATACTTTTTCCACCTGCACTGTGTATGTTTACATGGTGTGTTCAATAAAAACATGGCAACATTTCATTCTTTGTGTGTTATTAGTTTAAGCAGACTGTGATTGTTTATTGTTGTGACTTAGATGATGATCAGATCACATTTTATGACCAATTTGTGATCCATATCATTCCAAAGGGTTCACATACTTTTTCTTTTTCAACTGTATCTCTTTTTTTCTTGTTTGATACTTTACTTCCTCCAAACCAATGTTCTAAGCCTCGTTCCATATTTAATAAATGTTCCTTACATTGTGGAAATTTACTTGAGAGTTTCCACTGAGAAACATTAAAATGCCAAACTATTGTTGCAAATTTCCCATCTAATAACAAAGGCTTTGATTGAAACTGATTCAATTGAAAGGGACTTGATAACTTAAAAACCTTATTTTTGCATTCTACCATTCTGGGAGAGAATACATTTACCTTAACATCACCACATCTCTCGTGATGATTTCTTAACATTATACAACATTGATAGTTTACACTTTCCTTTCCTTCCTGGATATCTACAAGACTAGGCTTCATTATAATATCTCACATAACATAATCAGTTACCAGAAACATCATGTTAACTCTTACTGTCAACGATTCCCTAGATGCTCGTATTTCCCATATCCAAGGTATACCTGGAGTATTGTTTTTTAAGAGGAATTCTGGCTCTAAATGTGTAAGCCAATACTGAATTGTATAAAGTACCTCACCACCTCGTCCTCGTATTGTTACTGAAGTTTGTGAAACGTTCACATACATGTCAACTGACCAATTTACCATTTCCTCTCCATTAACTACAATCATGATATATGCATTTTGTAATATGTTAAGTTCCCATGATCCCGTTTTTACATTGTCTTGTACAAATGAACCTTTGGTCCAACTAAATAAATCATTAGTACCTATTGTAATGTTTAAATTAATAACACTATCTCCTGTGAAATTAATTTGCACATTGCATACTTATAGATAACCATCTTTTGTCCCAAAACAAACATGACCTTTTAATACTTGTTCATTGTCTCTCTTTTTTCTAATATTTCCCAATAAGTAATTCTTTAATTCCTGATTGAAAGTCATTTTGTTCATCTTAAATATAACTATTACAAGAACTGTAGTCATCAATGTTAGCAGGATGCTGACGAACAACTTCTTTCTGCTACACGGTTGTCTTTGCGAACACATCGTCTGTCACCGGCCAACTTTCGTCTGTAGGTCTGTTTACAAATTATCTAAAATAAACTAAGAAAAACAAAGCAGTATCAATATATTATCAAATTATGTTGTAGTTTTATACAATTTGCACTGATCTGCATGAACCCAAAAATAATTTTGCCTCCGTTTATTCCGTGAGCCATCAAGAGGTCTTTGCACTGTTTGTCCCATTGTATCTGTTATGTTATAAGGACCTTCCCAGTTCGCCTCCCAAGGTCCAGTTTTCCTAAAAGTTTTTATCATGACCATACCCCCCCTTTAAAAATTTTGAAAAATCAGGAGGTGTCATTTTGCACATACGAGCAGCTGCATGTGGAAGAATTTGCTCCAAATTTTCCTGCAGCATTTGCAACCATTTATTTTTAGCAATTGCATCTTTCTGTGGGTAGACAAATATGGTTCATAAGGAAAATTTAATTGCATTTTCCTACCTGTCATCAATTCAAATGGAGTGTATTGTGTAGCTGAAGACATAGTGCCTCTAATACCCATAAGTACAGCAGGAAGTACCTGTACCCATGTGTTGCCTTTCTCAAGTAACATTTTTGAAAGTCTAGATTTCAATGTTCGATTCATATGTTCCACAATCCCAGCAGATTGTGGATGATATGGAACATGGAATCTCTGCTCTATGCCTAGAATAGCACACAGTGATTGCATGATTTTTCCTGTGAAATGGGTACCTCTGTCTGACTCTAGAAGTCTAGGAAATCCCCATCTTGAGAAAATGTGTGTCCATAATACTTCAGCCGTTTTTTTGTGAATCAACTTTAGTCAGTGGAATTACTTCTAACCATTTAGAGAATACATCCACAACTACTAACGCATATTTTAATCCATTCTTACCTGTTGGTAATGGCCCAATTAAATCAATTTGTAAAGTAGACCAAGGACCATTTGCAGGTGCTATATGTTGTATAGGTATTTTTTGTCTATTAGGTCTGGGATTTATTTGTGCACATATCAAACATGATTGTACTACCTGTTGTACAGTGTTTTCCATGTTATTCCAATAAAATTTATTTCTGAGTACCTCTAACAGTTTCTGCTGTCCAATATGACCTAAACTTTCATGATTAGATTGTGTAAATAACACTTTTAGATGCTCTGGCATGACCGGACACAGTTCTCCATTTTGGTCATGACACAAACCCCGTTCTCATGAACAAATGGAGGTTTTGGATCGACCCGAGAAGCCGCAAGGGACGAATCCTTTGTCTGTTCTTCTGCAAAAGATGGATGCTGTGTGTTAGTCTTTCTAGCCACTGCTACTGATATAGGCTCTGTCTGCAATGCATTTTCACCAGTTAAAGCTGCTCTTTTTGCAAATTTATCCGCTATTTCATTTTCACTAAGTAAATCTTTACCTTTTTGATGGGCAGGAACTTTAACTATAGCATGTAAACATGGTTCTTGAGACGCAATTCCAAATATGGTCTCTAGTGTCTCTTTGTGTGCCAACACTTTATTTGAGGCATCTACGAACACTCTTTTTTTCCATATAGCTAAATGTTATGTTAGTGATCTAACCACATATGAACTATCACTATATATCACTAGGGGACGCCTTTCTTTTTCCTCAAGTGTTAGTACTGTTTTTAATGCTTCTAGTTCTGCTCTCTGTGCAAATGACCTGGTAATTTATGTTCTACTGAATATCCTCGTTTTGGATACCACATAGCATAACCTGTATAGTACTTCCCATTTGAACAGAATCTGGACCCGTCAACAAGCACAGGTTCATCAGATTCACTTGATTCCTTTATGAAAAGAGAAAGAAAATTCTCTTCAACTTCTGCTAAACATTCATGGGGTTTACTCATATTGCATTAGTTGTGGAAGTACATACTTTGCCTTATGTTCTACCTTAATTTGCTTTGGTGATAGAGCTATTAATAGTGATGTCCCGAACGGTTCACTGGCGAATAGTTCCCGGCAAACATCGCTTGTTCGCGTTCGCCACGGATGGCGAACATATGCGCTGTTCGGTCCGCCCCCTATTCGTCATCATTGAGTAAACTTTGACCCTGTACCTCACAGTCAGCAGACACATTCCAGCCAATCAGCAGCAGACCCTCCCTCCCAGACCCTCCCACCTCCTGGACAGCATCCATTTTACATTCATTGTGAAGCTGCATTCTTAGTGAGAGGAGGGACAGTGTAGCTGCTGCTGATTTGATAGGAAATTGATAGCTAGGCTAGTGTATTCAGTGTCCACTACAGTCCTGAAGGACCCATCTGATCTCTCTGACCTCACTACCCCCACACCACCCCCCCTACACCGCCTCTCACTACCCCCACACACCACCCTCAGCCTCACTCACCCCTCCTCACTACACCTCACCCCTCAGCCTCACTAACCCCCACACCTTCAGCCTCACTCAGCCCCCCACACCTCAGCCCCACTCCCCCACCACCCTCAGCATCACCCCCCCCCCACACCCTCCCTCAGCCTCACTACCCCCCGCACACCTCACCCTCAACTCACTCACTCAACCCTCACTCACCCCCCCACACCCTCACTCACTACCCCCACACCCCACCCCCCAGCACCCATCACCACCCTCAGCCTCACTACCCCCACACCACCCCAGCCTCACCACCCCCTCACCCCCCCACACCACCCCCAGCCTCACTATCCCCCACACCACCCCAGCCTCACCACCCCAGGCCTCATTACCCCCCACACCACCCTCAGCCTCATTACCCCCCACACCCCCATCGCGGTTGTGCTGTGGTCTTTCATGGAATATCCCGACCAAGATGTCCGTCTTCAAGGAAAATACCAGGCATAAGCTCCGCAACCCGCGGGTCACATTTCACATTTAGGGGCCCAACCCAGTCAATTGACCGGTTGCTATTCGCCATGGAAGCCATACCTCCAGGATCCGGTACTATCAGCCGTTCCAACATGCCGCTTTCTCGGGTCTTCGGCCTGGTATGACCGAATCATGTGACCTTCGGATGAAGCTCATCTAAAACTTAATTGATGACTCAGACATAAGGGAACCTGGCATACCTAGGAATTTCGGACCCCAACCAACTTCGGCCTGGACTCTGGAGTCCGGAGGAGGGTCCTCTTTACGCCAACTGCATGGAACTACCTGCAGGTTTGTTCAACAACATTTGCAGTATTGCTCGCTACCTTTCGGCGTGGACTTATCACCGGTTGCCCACTACGGACTGCAGTCGGATCTCACGTAGGATCGCTATCTATAGCTTCTGGACAAGTATTCATCATTTGTGACAGTCTGCGGGACGAGACACTCATGTGGCGGACGGCTTCACCCGACCCTGGAGAGACCCCAATGATTGGTTGCCTCACCCTCCGGGGTCTTGAGTACTGGCATGATTACATTCAGTGCGAACCACCATATGGAGTGGTTCTCCAGCTGGATGCCGCACCCTCGGCGAGGGACGAGTTTTCCAAGCTTGGTCTCCTTCAGGGCGTACGCATCCTGTTTACTTTGGGCTTTGCTTCAGACCTAATTCCTGGAAGTGTCATTTCGCCTGGCCACACCACTTCGGAGGAGTCCTGCGTGCTTTCCCCTTTTTGCTGGAGTTTGCCATGGGAAGGCAATCTACGACTCCCTGTCTCTTAATGTCCCACGTGGGATCCACAGGGGTAGCCTACCACAACTGGTGTTTGGGTCCCTATGGCAGTCCTTATCATGGCTGTCCCCATTGTCTGGCTGAGTTTCCCTCTCAGGGTAGGATCAT